AAAAAAAAAAAAAAAAGGAAAGCTGGTCATTCTTCATATTCCTTGATTGCTTTTCAATTTTTTTTTATTTATTTATATATTTACTTTTTATATGTCTAAAGAAATAATTCATTTTAAAGCAAGTCATACATTCAAAATAACATATAACAATTTAATTAGATATAAAAGCCTCATGACCTTCTGTCGTAAACAAAATCCTTCTAGACCTTCTATTGTAGATTCCACTGAATTGCGTTACATACTTACGTTTAAGTTAGAATAGGGTAACGCTTATCCTTGTTTATGCCATGCCGTTATTCATTTTGGAGTAGATGTGATGTGTACCCTAGTACAAATTTGATTAAGGAATAAAAAGAAAATAGAAGTTCTCTGGGACTAAGGAACGTGATGTGAAGTAGGGCATCTCAAGGGAAACATAACGTCTCGCATGGTGTAATGTGAACTTCTATTGAAATTCTTTTAGTAAGCCCTTTGAATCTTGGATCGCGAGACTGAAAAAAAAAACACACAGTGTCTATTACAGCGGAAATGAAAGAATTTTCTAAGATGCCATTAATACTCATTAAAGCAACTTTATCAATGACGACAATTTGGCTGCATTTTTGGTCTGAAGCTGTACAAAAATCATGTCTGAGTATACTTATGGAATAAAAGAAAGTAACTGCTCAAGGAACAGGAAAATGTAATTATTTTTAATCGGTTTTTCCAGGTTACAACGACAGGACAGGGAAAAGTCTACCAAATCTGTTCAATTTGATAACACAAGTTGACGTAACTTTCCTTCTTAGCTTATTTTGTAACAATCACACATTTAACGACTTCAGCACATTTAGGTATTTTTCTTTTTTAACTTGACCTTCGCATTTAGGTTTCCATAAATGAAAATATGTTTTGTAGAAGTTAGTTTTCTAAGCCACACTCCATGATCGTGCGTTCTTAATTCCCTTGTTTTTGTCTTACAGCTCCCACAGGGCAAGACACAGACAACGACTCAAAACAAAGATTCAAACGAGTTATTCCAGGTCCTATTTCTTCTAATGACTCGTACCACATAAGACAAGTACTCGAAGATATGTTTACCACCAGTTTAAAGATTTGCCAAAAACGTGGAAACTTCAACGTCTGCCCACGTGGACGGCCGGGACCTCCGGGGAGAGTTGGAACCAAGGGCAACAAAGGCAACGAAGGGAGGAGGGGTAGGAAAGGTTCCCAAGGAATTATGGGACCGCCTGGTAAGAGCGGAAAACAAGGGATTATGGGACCACCGGGGATTAGAGGAGAAAAAGGAATTAAAGGAGATATCGGGCCACCGGGTATCCCAGGGATTAAAGGTGAACCCGGAGAATCGATTTCTGTGCCAAAAGTGACGATAACTCCGGCTTTGCAACTGACTGTCAACGAAAGCAACGCTGCCGTTTTCTTTTGCTCGGCTTCTGGGAATCCGACAGCGAATGTAACTTGGACCAAGGTGAATGGATCGTTAACTAGCGACAGGACCAAAGTGACGTCAGATGGTTTGCTGCAGATAAAAGATGTTCGGCTAGAGGATTCTGGGAAATACATATGCGTGGCGAGAAATCTTCTGGGGATTGATGAAAAAGTTGCAACTCTCATCATACAGAGTAGGTTACAAATTTCATCACTTTATCTCCTTCCTAACCATAACTTTCTTGAAAGAAAATATGCTAGAAACATACAAAACGAAACGTTTCCTGACGCAGATAGTGTGTAGGTTAAAGAAATACTAATGCCTCGTTTAGAACCGCTTTTTTTGTCTTCAAAGAGGCTGACCAGCTTCCTGATGTCTGCTTCGCCGTACCCAAGAGAAAACATGTTAGAAATGAGCCCAGAATGTCCCATCTATGTATGATGAATTTTTTTCAGTATGGAATCTCGCAAATGTTTAACTAAAAAAAATAATAATAATAAAAAATAAAATAATAATAATAATAATAATAATAATAATAATCTAGGACACTTAAGTGATATGAATTGCTGATATTTCG